GAAAGGCACCTGTCCAAGCAGTGAAATCATGGGCTGTATTAATAAATGAAAAAATAAGATAAATCCGTGTTAGCCAAGGAGAGAATATTGGCTTTGAAATATAATTGAATTTATTGAAGCCTCTGAGTGAGAGAGTCTCTGGAGTATTCCCTAATTGGGTGGCTCCCTGCCTTCTCGCCGTGTAGTTGAATGATCAAAGGGCTGGCACCTGACTCGAGATGGCTAAATCGTTGTTCACCCCTTGGAACATTAAACTTGAAATGTGAGACACAGAGAGCTGTTGCTGGGTTTAAACTTGGTAACAGTAGCGCTCTAGAGAATAGATCAAGGAATTTCTACAGCCATAATCCTAGAAGCTGTCCTTATTCATACATTTCCTCAATTGGGGATTTAGCTCTCTCAGATTGCATGAACTAGTTCAGTATTTTTCCAACAGATGTCTTTGTGCTTAAGTTAGCTAGAATTGGCCTTTGGGTTGCTTGTGAGCAAAAAAAAAAGTATGACATTTTGAGGTCAATTTCCTTTCTCCTTTTGATTTTCATTCAATCAGATACACCAGATATTGTGTTAGTCAGGAGAGAGAGAGTGGTGAATGAGATGGACATGATTTCTGCTTCACGGAGGCTTCAGTCCAGCAGAGAAAACAGACACCGATGAAGTAATTAAAGTATAGAAATGAAAGGGCTTCATTTACAAATATTTATTAAGCACCTATTATATATAAGGCATTTGTCTAGATCCCATGGAACACCAAGAAAGAAAACAAAGATCTTTGTCCTTAATTATTTTAGATGTGGGTGAAAACAGTAAGTAATAAACTTGCGTTTCTGTGCAAATACATATATAAATAATGTGGACTCAGAAGGTGGTAAGTGCTATGGGAAAAGAAATTTTAAAAATGAACCAACAGGAACAGTATATCTAAAAGCTTAGAGGCCAGAGAGAAATGACAGGGTGGAGAAACTGAAAGATTATTAGAGCTAAAATATTGACAGCAAGGTTAGTGGCTCAAAAAGAAGATGAGGAGGTTAGCCAAACTAGATTGTTAAGGACTTAATAAGCCATTTTGAGGATTTTGAACTTTATCCTAAGGCAATTCAAAGCCACTTAAGAGTTTTAAACTACAGACTGTCATGATCAGATTTGCATTTTAAATTTATCATTCTGCTGGCAACCTGGAAAACTCATTGAAAGCTACAGTAGTGGCTGGGAGAGAATAATCAGGAGGCTTTTGTCCTAGTCCAAGTGAGAAATGGTGATGCCCTTGACTAGCATGCGTTTCATGAATTAGAAAACATTAGCTGTGTGAAAATGGCTGTTATCCAAGTTTACATTCTCAGCTATTCATATTTAGAAAAATGAATACCAACCCAGCTTTATCTTCTGCCTAAATTCTTGTATTCTTTACTTCCCTAGTGAGATAGTATAGACGATATAGGAGAAAAACACATGCTCTGTTTACCACTCCACTGTTAGGTCTAGATTAAGGGTACATACTGGTAAACAGTGGGTCATCTGACCCTATAGTTTGTTATGACATCTTTTACACTCATATTTTTTAAAGTCTATAAAACTAGACAGGTGTTATGCTTGGTTGCTGCACAAGCAATTTATCACTTAACCAGTTTTATGGGTGTATGTTGCCGTTATGCCCTCCTGTAATTATTTAACATTTTAATTTCAAGCATAGATATTAATTCTACTCTAAGTGGTGAGTTCCTTCTTTTCATTGACCTGGGTCTAGCTCAGGCTCTTTCAGTCCCAAAAATGTACACTGAAATTATATCCAACCTTCAGCTCCATTGTTTCAAGTCTTGCTTGTTCCAGCTGTAATAACAAAGGGAAAAAAGACATATAATTCTTTTATCATTACTCCAAAGGTTTCTCCTCTCATTCTTGAGGAAGCGAGAAAGGAAAAGTACCAAGTACCACCTTTTACCATATTGGAACATGGTTCCCCGTGGCTCAACAAAGTGTCTTTGATTCTCGAGAAATTTGCCTTTCTTAAGGAAGCTGGGGGGGAGGTAGAATGGAGGAGTGGGGCTTAAGGACATGGCCTTTAACTGTTCCCATTGCAATATTTTATTTAAAACTGTACTTTTTGAAAAATAGGTTTCCATCTTGTATTACTTTGTGTCTCGGAGTTTCTCCCTTATGAATTACTTTGCATCTTGTTTGAAGTGAACCATTTTAAAATTTATATTCCGTCCTACTTTTATTTCAAGAACTTACTTAAAATATCTTTCTCTTTGTCGTGCTCAGATATGCATGAACACTTTATGCATTTCACAGTCTTAGATGGAGGAGATAATATGCTAATTTGAATAGTGGTAAAATCAGAGTCAGAATAAAGATTTTATTCTCAAAAGAGTGGACAATGCAACATCTTATTGTTATCAGTTTTCTCCATTGTTAATACAAGGGCACAAAGACATGTACACTTAAACAGGCAGTCCAATATGAACTTGGGAGTGTTCTCAAGTCATTGGAGCCCAGCATAGTGGATGTTTGCTCCTTGAGGGCAGGTAACATGTTCGACTCCCTTTTGTATCCCCTACTCCATCCAAGGAGTCAAGCATATGTATCAGGTCTGTCCAGAAAGTATCCAGCTATGTAATATGAAAAATAAAGACATTTATTGAAGAAGATACAAGAAACATTGTACATAGGACAATGATGCCTCAGTCCCCTTTAAAGTAGGCACCTTGGGACCTCACACAGTTCTCCCAGTTACCCTCAGCTACCCCATCACATTTTCCTGAATCTCACTGATGGCCTGAAGTCTCTTCCCTCTTAAAGGTGACTTTAGTTTGGGGAAAAGCCAAAAGCTACAGGGCACCCAATCTGGGCTATAGGGGAGCTAAGTTACCTGGATGATTTGATGGTTTTGCCAGAAAACTCTGCACAAGATGTGATGCATGAGCAGACATGTTATGATGAAGCTGCCCATCACCCGTTGCCCATAGCTGCAGCCTTCTGAATCAGCTGAATAGTTTTCATGAAGGAATGTTCAAGCTTAATGCAAAATTTTATGCAGATCCATTGCTGTACTCACTCAGTCATTTTGACTACAATGGCCACACCATACACATGCTCACTCAGTGGCATTATCACCCCCACTGACTAGTACAGTGAAGTTGTCATTGCTCACACATGCATATTCCAGTCCACTCTCCTTGGCTGCCAGGTGACATCAGTGTCACGCAAACCATTCTTGTTATATTAACAATGGTTGAACTTTTTCCAGATAGACCTTGTATACCAGTTTCTCACCACATGCTTAGATAAGTTGGAGTAAATTGAAATTAAAGACTTAAGAGACATCTCGTACTATATTTAACTTTATTAAAAATCACACCAAAGACCACCAAAGAAGAGATTTTGACTAAGTATTGAATGCTGGGTTGTGTGACTCTCTAGAGCTAGCATATGGTCATACTCAAGAAAGGAAAAGTCCAGAGAGAAGCTGTTGGAGAGCAGACTAGAAATTAAACAAGTGGTCTTCCAATTTGAGTGTTCATCAAGATCACCTAGACAGCTTCATGAAGCAGAGTACTAGGCCTTACCAATTCAGGGAATCTGGAGAAGGGCCTGAGAATTTGCATTTCTAACAGTTTCCCTCCCAGATGATGCAGACTCTGCTAATCCAAGTAGCCCACTTGAAAAAAAGAAAAAAGAAATGACTGCATTAGACCTTGGAGAGCTGGCCCAGCTAAGGGGATCTGGGCAAGCTGCTTGCTCTGTGATCTGTGCAGAGAAGGGATGATTTCAGAGATTGCTAAAGGAGGTATCTAGATCATGTAGCTAAGTGGACATCAGAATAGTTGTGTCTTGCTTCCTCCTGATCAAAGGATTGGTGACTTTGCTCTGGCAGGTAAAGGAGAAAATGGGTTCAAGAGCTCAATTGAGAGTCAAACAACCTGACAAATGAGTTAGAAGATGGAATGCATGGAATTGACTTAGTAATGCTTTCAGCTAGGTTAACCTAATTTATCAATGTAAAAACAAGACCATATATCTAAGCTAATTTATATGGGTTTTCCTGATAATATCCTTACACTGCAAGGAAAGTTTATGTCCTTCAGCTGACTGTACCTATGTCAAGGTAAATGGGGAAGGTGGAGAAAGCCCAAGGAGAAGGGAAAGCCCATTCATCCTACAGAAAGGATTTAGGAGAAACCATGCCCTCTCCCCACTCACTCGTCCCACTCAGTGTTATCTGCCAGGTAAAGAGCTTCAGCAACTAGGTATCCTGGGGACACATTTCACTTTATTGTGAGCTTGCAGTATTGAAATGGAAACTGCCTAGAATTTAGAACTGATTTCATATGCTTCACTGTGCCCAGTTAATTAGTGTTCTTACATTTTAAAACTTGAGTATGATTTTTTTTTGCATACTTATCTGTTTTTTTCCAGATGAAATTTTTATAAGCAGTAGTCATTTAGGACTTTGGGGGACAATGGCATTTATTTTCATTACAAAATTTTATGGACTCAGGGTTTTTTAAAGATTTTATTTATTTTTAGAAAGAGGGGCAGGGAGGGAGAAAGAGATGGAGAGAAACATCAGTGTGAGGTTGCCTCTCATGCAACCCCTACCGAGACCTGGCCCACAACCCACGCATGTGCCCTTAGTGGGAATCGAACTGGTGACCCTTTGGTTCACAGGCTGGCACTCAGTCCACTGAGCCACACAGACAGGGCAGGTTTTTTGTTTTTTTTTTAACTTGTCAACAAAAATGAATAAAGGTATCATAATAAGATGAACCGTGTCAAAAAAATGATACTTTGTGGTAACCAAAATGGTCAATGCTCATATTTAACCTAAAGTAATTTGTGCTGATTTGAAAATATTTTTTGAGAAAAACTGGTTAGTGATCCTTTCAAGGTAAAGCTCAGCTCATGTATAAAAGCCACATAAAAAAATGACTCTGGAGACCTTGGCTACACATCCAGCGGTCAAACATTTCAATGCTCCATTGCTCCTGTTCCTGTTACAGGTACATGTGACAGTGCTGCAGCTATGAGTGGAATTTTAAAGAGGAAGTTTGAAGAAGTTGACGGCTCCTCACCCTGCTCCTCCGTGCGGGAATCAGACGATGAAGTGTCCAGCAGCGAAAGTGCTGACAGCGGGGACAGTGTCAACCCGTCCACCTCTAATCATTTTCCCCGTGAGTACGGGTGCCATACCTGAAGCTGATTTTCTGGTTCTACAGGGAAAATAATTGCACCATCTTTATCATTTTTTCAGAAATGAGATATATTGGAGGCAATAATGGATTCCTTTATTTAGGCTGCTTTTGGCAGTGGATTAATCAGTTGTATTAATGAGCTGATTCAATGAAAAAGTGACATTTTTATTTTTATTATTATGGTTATTATTATTTATTACTTTTCAAAGGAAGCACCAACCCTGGGAATAGATGGGAAAAGACAAGTACAGGCACAACACAATTCATCCTCCTATAGCTGAAACAGTATTCTGGATATTCTGGGAGGGGAGAAAAGGGGATATATTTGGGAGTTGAAGGTCTAGGTCAGGATGAGAAAGAAGAGCTCAGCCAGCCATGCATTAAGAGATTGTAAAAAGTGGCAAAACTCTCCGAAGTGTGCAAGCACATTCAGTTTAGACCTCTTTCGTACTGATCCTTTTATTCTTTCATCCCCAAGAATAATGTTTAAAGCTCACAAAGAAAGAAAAAAATGTATGGTTTCTCTTTGATTCCTTTTTTTTTTACCACACTGTAACAGCATCCCTTCCTACCAAAGTATGAGGTTAGAATGAATGATGAGAAAAATTCATGAATAGTCTACATGCTAAAGAAAACTTACTAGTAATGACTGAGTAATCTTCTTGAATGTATGTCTTCAACAGAAAGATTGTAGCATGTCATGATATGATAGATAACTAGTCATAGCTTTTTAAAAATTTTTTTCGATTAAGTAGCTGATTATATTAATATATGATTCTATAATATAGAATTTATTTTGGAAATGTGACAACCCAGAAAACCAGAAGAATTAATCATATTTTGAAATAAGGAATTCAATAAAACTGTTGAATATGAAACAAATATACTAAAATCAACAGCCTTCCGGTAAGCAAGCAAAGCTAATAGAAATTATAGTGAAAGGGCAATTACATTATAGCAGGGAAATCATAAAATATTTAGGGACAAGGATATTGTGTGACAATATCTACAGATACATCTACATATGTTGTGATGATATGAATAGTCTTTTGTTTTTGATTCAAAAGCAATATTTTTACCAATTTTGTCTTAATATTAATAGTGATAATAACAAAGGCATTATCACCTAACAGAGTTTTGTGAAGATCCACAGAGTAGGTGACATAATTCCCATGAAAGAACATTGTAAAATGTCAAGTACACACATTATCATAAGAATTATGATCAGAGCTAATACTTACTGGGTACACAGTATGTTACAATAATTCTCTATATAATAATCCTTGAAGTACCACTCCCTGCAATTTACAGAGGCTTAGAGAGGCTAAACATCCTGCCCAAGATCACACAGGATTTGAGCCTACAGATAAGTATACTTGTTCTCCATAGTCTTCAACTTTTTAATTATCTCATTCTGCCCCTTAATCATATATTATTGGACATATCTTTAAAATACTGCTCATTATGAGTTATAAAAGAATGCTTGAATAAGTGAAGAGAGTATATCTTTCTGGTTATTATGATAAATAAAGCTATTAAAGCTTTTTATATTATTTATAAATAAAATAGGATGATCTCCATAAAATTGTCAACTGACTTTTCTTAGAAGATGATAGAATGATAAAAATATATTTGAAAAAATAAGCTAATGAGAATAAAGGAATATTTTCAAAAAGAAGCCATAAATGTTGAGAAGCCATTCCAAACATGAAATCATAATAAAAAATTATATAATTTAAATTTTTTGGTACTGGCTAGATCTAGGAAAGTTTAGAAAATCTCAACATGTTATATACAAGAATTAAATATATACAAGAATATAAGAATAAAGTATTATAGAACATTGGAAAAGGGAAGGAGGATTTAATAAATGGTTGTGGGATTAGAGTTTGAAAATGAAGTAACAAATATGCCAAACATATGCCAAAATACATTTCCAGATGGATTAAATAGAGATATATATTTTTAAAAGAACTCATGGGGGAAGGTGCATATTTGTGAAGCATTTGGTGAAATAATTATATAACCTTTGAAGTAACAGAAAATAACTCACATTGCAATATACTTAACATATTTAATAATACAAAAACATTAAATTTACTTGCTACAAAAAAAAGCCCAAAGTAAAAGTAAAACTGATATCTATGTTGGAAAAAAATTGTGGCTAATATTGAATAGGGTTATTTTCTAGAAGTAGTTTGAAGAAATGTGTAATTTTTTTAGATGAATATCAAGGCACACCATACAGACAATCTACAAAATAGAAAAAAATGATTAGCAATTATTTTTAAGCATTTAACAACAATTGTAATAATGCAAATTAAAACAATATGAGATTTCATTAGTATGAAATCATGGAAATTTCATCTTCATGAAATTAGTGCTCCTCTATCCAATGAAAAATACTAATACTTAAGTGCTGGTGAAGGTCTCAGCACGAATCATAGGTACATACGTTGCTGATGGAGGTAGTGAAATTTAGGAAGCACTTTGGAAGTATAAGAGCCGTAATATCCATATCTTTAAGTCTATACTTCAGATCATTATCTGAAGGGGGAAGCATTGCAAATAAAAGGGAAAGATGCATCAAATAAAAATGTGGGTGCTTCATGGTAGTGCCAAATAACTGTTTGGGGGTGGGGAAAAAGAAGGTAGCACATCTAAGAGGGGGAAATGGTGCATTAGGTTATGGTAACATATACAATTAATTCTTCTTCATGATATTTATGAAGATTTTCTGGCAATGTGTGGAATGCTAGTGAGATAGTATTAAGAAAAGCAGAACACAAATTTTACCTATACCGTCAGGAGAAGGCTCCAAGTGTAAGGGCAAAGAATGCTAAGCTGCCCTAACACCTGAAACTGACTTGACTTGTTGAAGTATTAGAATGATGATAAATTTTCATATTTATTGCTTTTTATTTCTGTTACTATTATATGTATTCCATAACAAGTGAGCTTTAAATTTAAAATAACTTTAGTTCAGACTGTGAACTAAATCAGGCAATACTTCAGCTAGCTAGTAAAGACTTTTGTGGTATGACCAACAGAAATTATTTTTCCCACTGAAAAAAATGGACATATTTTATGATGTTCAAAAAGTTTTTAAAATGTCTTCACTCATTATTTATTGTCAGTGGTAGTTGGTAGTGATTAGTTTCCTAAATTGCTGGTTTAATTTTGTATTAAATGAAACCTGACTGAGATTTTTCATGGTTTTTAAAGATAATTAAAATGCCTGATTTACCAGAAAGTGCTGTTTTCATTTAATAGCCGGCTTAGCTCACCATATTTATATTATGAAGAGAAAAGAAAAAACAAAGAATCAAAAGATTAAAATTCTACCTAAATATTTCCTGAATAAAAGATCTGAGCATGTTAACCAGCATGAGAGGAGTAAAAGGAGTTTCTGTTTCTAGAAATGTATTTGCATTATTTGCTAGTGCAACAAGTGATGCACAAATTTTTAGAAAATGTTTATTTCTTTTTCCATCAAGGTCCTCACCTGCAGTGGTTTTATCTGCATGTGAATCAATGGACATGGACTTTTGGAAATGTTATTATTGATGAATCCTCTTTCTTTAATATATTTTGTACTTTCAGAAATAAATAAAAGAAATAAATAAAAATGATTATCTTAGAATAAAGAAGGATTTTTATGGCTATTTCAATCTTATTCATAATGAACTCATCTTTCAAATTTAAAATATCCTGTGTACTTAGTGCTTTATAAGCACTAACATATTGTGTAACATAACATTTTGTTATCTTTACAAATACAGGAACTGATAAAATTGCTTGGAACATGTCAGTAAGCTATGGTAGTAGAAAATTCCATGCTGTTCTAAGGTTTTTCTAAAGATACTCAATTTGCACCACAGTGCATTATGATAATGAAAGCCTCAAAATACAAATCAGTAAAGGCTTATACCTTTTTCCGTGGACTTCTGAGGTTTGCTAGGCAAATAAGCATACCTGAGAGAGACCGATCAAGGTCATATCTTATACTTCCCTTGAGACAGAAGCAGCTGGATTCTGTACTGCTGCAGAACACTTTGCTTCATCAAATCCCTGTGGCTCTGTAGCCAATCAGCCTGTGCTTGAGCGCTGTCAAAAGGAGAGCTACAGAAAACATAGGGAGGACTGATTGTTTTGTCCTCTCAAGGTTCTTGGCACTTCACATGAATAAAAGGAACACATTATTTTTCCTGAAACAGGGTGCTTCTACAAATAAATGTATAGTGTTTAGGAAGTTAAAATATCAAGAAGGAAAAGGATAGATATTCTAAATGCACATAAAGGCAGGTCTTTTGAAGGGATAAGACTTTCTAATTTCTGGCTGGCGTAGCTCAGTGGTTTGAGCGCGGGCTGCGAACCAAAATGTTGCAGGTTCGATTCCCAGTCAGGCCACATACATGGGTTGCAGGCCACGGCCCCTAGCAACCGCACATTGATGTTTCTCTCTCTCTCTCTCTTTCTCCCTCCCTTCCCTCTCTAAAAATAAATAAATAAAATCTTAAAAAAAAGACTTTCTAATTTAAAATGCTTTCATATTCTTGAGTTTATTTGATATCAAAAAATTGTTGTGTATTAGGAGCCATTATTTTACCCATTTTATAAAAGTAGAAATTAACAGTCAGATGTATCTGTTACAGGCTCAGTGCTAGATGCTTTCAGACAGGTCAAACTGATAAGCTACAAGTAGTAAGTACAGCTTGGAGATAACAGTGACAGATCATGTCTACCCAGCACTGTGGTATTTACTTGAGAATTTACTATAGCAAACACAGATGTAGCGATCTACCCCTGAATCAGTTTTCAGTATATGGAGGAATGTTCAGGCAAAAATCGAACACAGTTTTATAAGGGAAAGTTTTTAACTTTCAGAAGGTAGAAAACCACATGACCCTCAAAAGCTCCTTTCTACTCTGTGAAAATATGATTCTAAGAACAAGGCCCAAATAGCATTTTAAGTTAGA